GTCTCCGTTATTGCACTATATACATGCTTTATGCATGCTATCTCTTAATAAGTCACACCTTCTAATGGCGGCAACAAATTCTTGTCTGGTCATGTGTTTCATTTCATCCAATTCCTTCTCGTAGTTGCTAATCTGTAAAACAAATTAAAGTAAAATGAACAAGATTTACTTTGAACCAGAGTCTGAGAAGCACTGAGAAAGTAGAGTCATTAACTTACTGGAAAGTTGGTAGTGGTGGATGTCCCCCAGTACTTCAGTGCAGCTAAATCATAAGCCCTAGCTGCTTTCTCTTCTTTATCATATCCACCTATTAAATAACAGAAGGAAAACAATATATTTTGTAGTTTGATTTTCTATCTCCAGGAACTTAAAATAATTGAAAAGGGGTTGGGAAATAGACTGAAATGGAGATACTTACCCAAATAAACTGAAGAAGAAATATGAAAACAAAAGCAAAACATCAAGAGAAATGTGTTAATATATAAAATCTCAATTAATAACATTAACTAAAAACTTCAAAAATAACCAATATTAACAAAAAAGAATATAACAAAACTCTAAAATAAATTGATTTGAAGTTCAGTCACCTTGGCGTCCTTTTCTTGATTGTCCTTCCCTTCTACAGCTGTTATCCCAAAGGTGAGCTTCATACCTTCCAGTCCATCTATGTCTATGTATATATTCATTTAATTGGCATAATTTTAGCAAAAATAAAATAACAAACCATGCAAAAAAAAAAACTTGATTTAGAAAAACATAGAATGACTATCCAACCGCGTTACTCCACGATATATGGATGTTCTCTGGCCGAAAGTATCCAAAGTTCTTCTAGGTGCAGCTTCAACAGTGTTTGTACTATTTTCACCACTGGTTTCACATGTAGAATCCTTACCACTTCCCATGGATAATGTCAACGATTGCAAATTACTATTAGCATTTTCTTGACACTCATTGCTAGGCGTGTCCACCACAGGGTTTTGCAAAGGCACGAGACTGTTGTTTGTGAACAGATAATCTGAATCATTTGACTGAATTTCGTTTAAAGAAGCAAGGTCTGACTGATTTTCAGACTTGCTCACTCCAAGAAAATCAGCCACTTTTGGAACTTCGTTGCTGCTATGAGTGTTAATCAGATTCCAATCTGTCGAATCAATTAAATATCACCAAAAATAGCGGAAAAGAAATATTAGCAAGCAGAATATATATAGAATGAGGGAAAGGAGAAGAGAGAGAAGGTTTACCATGATTTTGGAAAGGGTTTTCCATGCTCTCGTTCACCAGTCCAAGGGAAAATTGATGGTATTGAGTCGCTTGAAGATCATGGGTTGGTAAGGAAGAATGAGTAGGAGAAAGAGGAAAGGAAAGCCAGTTGTTGTTCATTGAGCCCTTATTTTCTTGCTTTACCTTTCAACAAATCAAAAACAGCTCCAACGCATTAAAAAACAAGGAGAAAGATATGAACTAAACTTGCAAAAGGGAAAACAAAGATGGAAAAAATAAGAGATGAGCAAAGAAACATATATAGGTTTACCAAGGGTTCTGGCAAAGGGTTTAAATCAATGAACACTTTGTATCTCTCCCACCCTTTCAACTTCCAAGCTTAAGACAATGGGAGAGAAGAAAGGGCTAAGAAAGGAACATTTTAACAATATTTAAAGTTCTTCTTCCCTTCTTCCTCGTTCTCTGTCCTACTATGTATAACTAATGAAGTTTAAAACTATTAGTTAAAATGATGTGTGACTGTGGCACCCCCTTTGCTAAGGTCGATTTTGTAGACTCTGACTCTTTTCCACCGGTTTCCAACACTAGCAAACAAAGTTAAAATCTGCCTACAATGATTATTAAATAATTAATATCTATGTAATAAGATATTATTAGGGACACGAGTGTGTTAATAAACTATTATCCTTCAAATCCTCCAGTCTTTGACCAGAGACAATACCACCATTCTAACTGGAAAAATACAATCACATACACCTCCTCTCTCTCTCTCTCTCCCTCTGTCCACCCACTTGGTTTATTGGAACTCTCGTCCTCGTTCTGTGAAAACAATGACTCCCAAAAGCCCAGCATTCCCACACACTACAAATCATCTCTCGGTCTCAAAATCAACGACTCTACGTAAAGTAAGACTACCGACCTCTCTCTCTCCTTGTGTATACAAGCCATATAAATATACACATATATACATATATATATTGAATGAAACTAAAATAAAGATCTGAAACGGGATATTTAAACATCCGGTAGAAGATGAAGTCCATTGTAGAGAAACTCTCGAATTTGGTTATAAATTAAGAAAGGAAAACCAGTCTATGGATTCCCGAGTCGTGCATGTGTTAAAGATGCATGAGTACGGTCATGCAATATTATATGGTGAAAATCCGACATATTAAAAATTAAAAGTACTGAATGAAAGAGTAAGAATTACTTTTTGTTCAAAATGAGACCAAGCTGTATTGCATATTAATATTATTTAATTAACGTGATTCAATTGAGCAGCAATTAAGAAATATAATTTGAAGGGTTTTGTTTGTTCCCCCAAGTAAAAATCTGTTGACCACCTACTCGATTTCCTCACCCGTCAAAAGGCCACTAGCTTGAAATTATAGTTTAAATTAAGTTAAACATCTGCTATCATGTATCTGCACAGGGCCGTGTCTTCCTAACACCAGAAGCTTGTATTCTGCTTAGGTTAAGGTTCATCCCAAAAGATCCACTTCTATGATATAAACAAAGTAAAAATATCCACCTAACCATCATCTATGCACAGTGGCTTAACTTGCCCTCACTTAGCATTCTATGTTACTTAACCCTAATGCATCTTCACGTATCCGAATGGAATGATTACTGAACATGGCACATATTTCATATTTTATGGAATGTCTAGAGTTATCACTCAATAATTTATACTATATTCATCTAGTAGAGATAGGGAATAAATTAAGTTACTAGCTAGGCAAAGCTTGGATCTCGTAATATACCGCAATTACAGCACAACACACGCACACGCACATCTTTTATGAACATATATTTGGTAGCTTAAGCACAACGTTTAAATGTTCAGTACAATTATACACACAAACAATAATTTTCTTATAACTGATTACATAAAAATCTGGCATACAATAACATGTTGAGAGGGACGAAATTACTATGCTAGAATAATGTTATGCATGTATGTATAACTACGTTAACTGCTTTTGATTCGTCTAAGGCAGATCTCGTGCTAAATCAAGAGGGTTATGACCAATTCTTCTATGGACAGTAATGTAGCAAATCGAAAGCTGAATATAATATTAAAATAACTTCACATAAACTTTTTTCTTATTATGATTAATATTATTTTAAATTGAAATGGTTTGTACCCCTGGATTAAATTACACCATGACTATCACATTTGTTTGATGCATGGACAGAGAAGATTAAAAGCGCAGCTATATTTATAGAATAGCAACTCCATAATTGAATATACAATTTTCAGAGTATAAACACTAATGAGTTATCAGTGCAAGAGCGAGGTAATCCATGCATGTATATATATATATATATATATATATATATATATATATATATATATATATATATTCATAAAACTTAATTTTAATTTCTACCAAATAAAGTGAATAGAAATTAGAAACTTGGACCTGACAAACTCAGAATATAACTCACTAGGTAGCCATGAGATGAATTAGAAGAATCTAAACTAAAAAAGAGGATTACTATATATAACATATTAATTAATGTAGCAGCGATATTACCAGCAATAACAGTGAGAAGCAGTGGCAGTGAAGAATAAACAATTCCAAATACCTGCCAATGTGGATGAAGCACTGTTCCCGCCAAATTCTTGTACATAAACAATAAGCGATTTTGACCGAAGTGCACACCATAAGGGAGCAAAACCCCACCTCTCTCGCTGTTCCAATTTTTATACCTCAACCACTAGATTTTGCAAACTGTGAAAAACACTCCCCATTCCAAACGAGAAAACCCTTTTTTCTATATACCAAAATTAAGCATTTCCTTAAAACCTAAACTTGCAAGAAGTCGGAAAACACAGGAATATATGAAGCATACAAAACAAAAAAAGGGAATAAATAGGAAAGAAAATGGCACTAGTAAGAAGAAAAAGGAAGTGCAAGCATTGATGAGGAATCTGTTTCTCTCACAGTGTGAAGTGGTTTAATTAATTTTAATGTTTTGTCTTGAAAAATGTGGAAGAGAAGAGAATAAATAGAGTTTAGCGAATGGAAGGAAGGGGTGCATGGTGCTGATTCGCCACCGGTCATACGCAGTCAACCCAAAATTAATCAGGTTGTCACGCCATTTCAGGTTCTTGGGCCAAATTCAGAGTCAAGGGAATGTGACTGACACGTGTCCATTGTCCCTTCCTGCTTAGGGTTCTCTTTGTCTTCTACCTTTCACTTTCAAACTTTGCAGCCAAACCAGCCAATTATCCTGTTTGCATGCCTGCACTAAAAAACACGAATAGCTAAAGAACTTTGACCATGCTCTCACCACCACCCTTCATTATTACTATTATTATTATTATTATTATTATTATTATTATTATTATTATTATTATCTTTTTCAGGTTTAGCTTAATTTTTATCATAATTATTTTAAAATCATACTTTCAATGATTTTAATTAGTTTGATAATGTAAGTATAGAACTAAACTTTTCAGAGATTAAATTAGATTTACAATTTGTTAGTCATGCATTTTATTTGTTTAACAGACTTTAAATATTGAATATTTATTAATTTAGTTTTCATGGTGATATATTTAACTAATATTTAAACACCAATTGAGAACACTTTTCTTATTCACAATATTGTATATGTCTATGATTTCAAATACCTGAAAGATTAATGTTTTAGAGAAGTATTGAAGTGAGATGAATGGTAACACTTGAGGCTTGACTGTGAGAAGGAACAAGTTATGATGATTTGAAGAAGGACATGAAGGTAATTGCATGAGGGGTTGAAGGGCATTAATGGAGAAGGAAGATCACGAGGATCCAGAGAAAATTTTGAGAATTTCCAAGAAATGGGAGGAAATGCCGGGAAAGTGCTCGTGTCGCCTCGAAATGAAACACTTGAAAAGGTTGGTTGATGTGTTATGTTTGGTGTGATCCCCTCTTCTCCTCCATTTGAACCCTAACCCACCCTTAGCTTAATAGCTAGGTTTAGGTTTGTTTCTAAAGCACATGACTGAACCAGATAAGATAACCAACCAGACAAGAAACATATGCTAGTAAATTGTAATATCAAATTCTCTGCATATAACCAAACACCTCTTGTGCATGTATGTGTGTTCCTGGGATTCGGAAAATGAGAACTTAGAGATTATTTATAGGAACTTGACTTCGGGAATTAATTCAGTCAGAGTCATTTAAATCATCATATTTTACAGTATAAATATCTAATGTATTTTCAAAACATTCAATTATAAATAAACTTTTTTTATTTTCTCATTATTTAATAAGAGTTAAGTTTGTTTTTTCATATCACTGTAAATAAGTATTCTTCTTAGATTGTGTTTATTGAAAATAATATTTAAAGATAAATATAATACTTCTTTTTAATAATAACATTAAATGAAGGTTAGAAAATTACAATTCTATTCATATTTAAATCTATCAAATATGATTATTATTTTTTTCTATATTTAAATGGAAAGAATATTGCACACTCTTTGATTCCATAGAACACAAGTGGTTCTCTTATACATTTGCTTTATTTATTTTTATTAAAAAATATTTTGCATACTTATGTATATGTATGTGTGACATTAACTTTTATAACGACGAGATTCACATGTATTTTTGTCCATTCTTTTAAAAATCATGTTAGCACGTTGTGTAATGCATGTCAAGTATATGTATATCCACAATAATGTTAGAAATTTAATTTGGATATGTTTTATTTTTTTATATTATTATTTTATCACATAGTAGTTTTTATTAATTAATATTTTAAAATTCATCTTTAAGATGATATTTGTTTTATTGATGATTAATAAAAAATTATTTATACTGTCTATGGTTATTAAATCCACGAATTATTTTAGATATTATTTAATTGGTTAATAATAAAATATTTAAAGAAATTAGAATATTTTAAATTTTGAATAGAAGTTAAATTCATTAAATTAGAAGATTTTTTTATAACTTATATCTCACCCAATTTCTTGATATAATAAGTTGATCTTGTTTTGATACTCTACTCTCGCAACTCTAGAACAGATACAATATATCATTGACAATAAAATTTAAAATAAATGTAAATTAAATAGCTGTTTCTAGTATTTTTTTATTTAATTTTTTATTATTATTATTATTTTAAGTATCAGCTTTGTCCCTTTAAAAAAAATGATAATATTTTTTCATCAATATAATTAAACTGTCTAATTAAAAATATTACATTAGTAACTTGGATACAATACACGACATTAAATTGTATTATCTTTGACATTAAATCAAGTTTAATTCAACGTGTTCTCTTGATTTAAGTGAAAAATTTAGATCTTGAGACCTACCTCAATCTAATCATACCAAAATTTTAAGTAATAATAATAATAATATAATGATTTAATTTATTTAATTATTTATTAATTAAAATATTTTTAAATATTAAATTATTCAAAAATTAATTAATATAGTCTATTTTTAAAAAAGATATTAATTCTAAAAATATATAATTTTTAATTAAAAAATAACTTGGTAAATGTGAGCAATGGATCCAACCTAATCTAATAGGAGGACGGTGGAGTGAGTGAGATCCAATCTTAAAAAAATATTTATAAAAATCTAATCCAATCAAATTTAAGTTTTTTTATTAGTTTGAGTGATGAATTAATTGAGTCCTACCTATCTTATGTATGCTCCTATAAGATAAAATTGAAAAAAATAAAAATAAAAAATTATATTTAACTTAATAATTGATGAATTTTTTATAAGATCATAAGATAAAAGAAAATTCTAACAACAATATTCTTACTATTTTATCAAAATTATTCATATTCCATCTTAAAATATTAAAATAAAAATTTAGATTTAGAGTTTTGCCTTGTTTATAAATAGATAAAAAAAAATTCTCATATCATAAATAAAATTAAATTGTTCTTGTGGTAAAGGATTGTATTCTAAAATTGTGATTTTGGATTTAAATCTTAACTTTAATGAATATATTAATAATTTTATTTTATTTCTACAAATATATATATATATATATATATATATGTATGTATATATATATATATGTATATATATATATATATATATATATATATATATATATGTATGTATGTATGTATGTATTAAGGTGGCCTCTAAGCTTAAAACTAGTGCCTCAAACTAAGATTTGAAGAGAAATTTTACTTCTTTTATGTGACATGGGATGCATTGGAACTGTTTTATAAGTGTTTTGTTTTATTTTTCTAAAATTAAAAAAAAATAGTATGTGTTTATTTACAAGACTAACAAATTTATTTTAACGTTTTTTTTCTTTCTTTTAATATATTTTGTATTGAAATCATGCACATAAATTCATCCAATATTAATAGTAAATACAGAAAAAAAAGTATTATTTTTCTTAAACTATGCATCAAATTTTAGATTCATATATGAAAATTAGGGATGTTAAAATTATTATTATAAATGATCAATAATAAAGATTGTAGCCTTATATATATTAGTGATAAAGAAATCACTAATTTAATATCTGTACATTTTTGTTTTTGAAAATCAAAAGCTAATTATTTCTTTTAGTTTCTTTAATAAATCAAGGATTAATTATAAATTTTAAAAATTAGGAACTAGAAAATGAGTAAATTAACCTTTTTAGAGACAAAAATATAAAAAAACACTTGTTGAAAGATATTTTTCGAGTGAATTTTTTGTCATTTTTTTTAGGAATGTATGTGGGTGATTAATTTCAATTAGGAATAATGAGGTAGGTCATTAGAGACTATATATATAAAATTAGTGATTATTTTTTTGACCTAGGTTACATTATTTAATAATTTTAACTTTAATTTATTTTTAAACTTTGTTGAAAAATTATGTTATGAAATTTTTATTATTGAAATATTCATATAAAAGAGATACTAATTTATGTTGTTTTATTTAATTATTATGTATTTTTTATCGAGTGTAAATATATATTTTGTCAAAACACGAATCCATCTACCAAAGTTTCTAGAACACATCGCACAAATAATTCATAAGCTTTGGGTAAATAAATTAATTACACGGATTAACACAAATGTTTCTTTTTTAAATATATTATGAACCTCATTGCTTAAAATCTAAATTATTTTTAAAAAATAATAGTTTATAATTTTAAATAATTTTTTTTTCAAATTTAAGTAATTTATAATAAAATAATAAATCTTATTTTTAATCAATTCTTAGTAGATGCGTTCGTCTATGTTTTATTACTTTTGTAATTAACTAAACTGATATTTGAATTTTTAAACCACTCATCTTTAAACATTTGGAGATGATTTTTTATTAATAATCTTGAACTGCTCATCTCTTATTTGTATTTTTTTAAATATTCTTAATTATTTATCCTTTCCGTCTCTATATTACTGAATCATATTTCAATGATTTTTATAAAGAAATTGTCAATATAGTTAAAAATAACCTTACATGAAATTTTAAAATGATTCATCATAAATTTAAAATATATTTTATACATTCAAATATATTATTATTTATTATGAAATTTAATTATGATATAAATTTATATTAAGTGTTTATTTTATTACAAAATTCAAATAATATGAGAAGTATTTATCTTAAAGAATCATAATATTACATCTTAAATGTTTATATTAAAACATAATTACTTTGTTTATATGTATATAGTAAAATACATTTAAAAGTGAAAGAAAAATAAGTATGTGTTTGATCTATCATGAGATCCAATGGCTGAAGCAAATACCTTCAATTAAGTTTTTTTTCTTTGTTAAATTATTTTTATCAAAATATTTAATCTATATAATTTTTTTATTCTGCTTGTAGCACGAATGTTATGCAAGCAAATTGCTTATTCATTGACGATGTTATTTGATTCCATTTATTTCAAAGGCTTAAAAAGTTATATTTATTTTTTATATGTTATAGGAATATATTTTATGCTTTTTTAAAAAAATTACAAGAAATAAGTTTTTGATACGTTTAAATAATTTTTATAAAAAAATTAAAAAATAACTAATTTTTCAATGGTGTGTCCAATTGAAACAATTGAAAATTTAGATTGTAAAATAAGTTTTCACTCCCAATTGTTTGATTTTATGAAGGTAACTTTAATCGAAGTAATTTAAATTAATTATTTTCCATATGAAAAAAAATATAAAATATAAATTTAATTGTGTCATGTTATCTTTAAATAAAAATATTTAAGAAACCTAAGCAACTCATTTTTTCTACTTATATATTTTTTTTTAAATTATTTGATGAATCAATTTAAAACATTATTATTATTTTTTTAGAGAAATTATTTGTAGATTTTAAAGTATTATTTCAACATGGATATATATTCCATAATTTATTTAAAATTAGATAAAATTATTTATACAAACAATTATAATTATTTTATTTAACCACTTTAATAAATCATTTTCAAGATACTATAAGAGCTTCGGTTGAAAATAGTTGACAATAGGGGAATGGGCTTCGGCCTACTTCTAGATGGTATTAGCCCAAAAGCCAGAGCAGTACCAAAAGTAAAAGACTTGAAGCCCAAAACTACCGTAAAACGATATTATTTTTCTTTTTGCAGAAATATTTTTGATTGACTGTGTTTTTTTTTTTTTTTTTTTTTTTAAGTTTTCTGTTTCCAAAAGAACCATGATATATTCACTACCTTCCAAAAAAACAACTCCAAAAACAACTTATTTTATTAATATAATAATAATAAAAGAGATTTAATAAAAATAAAAAAATTAAAATTATTATTATAATATAAAATGCAATTGTTTAATGGGTTGTTAGTAGTGTCAAAAATATTATTTTTCTTTTTAAAAATATGTTAGATGAACCTTTCTCCAAATTTGTCAGAAACGTTCCAAAATCTATTTTTATAAATATTTTGAATTAATCTTTATAAAACAGTAAAAATACTTTTTATAAAATATAATTTCCAATTTAGCTTTTCAGAAAATTTTTGGATTCATCTTTTCAAAATAATAAATTGTATTCCAGATTTCATAATACTGATCTTACAAAAATTATTCTGGATTTATTCATTTGAAATTTTAAAAAAAATCAATCTAAAATACTCTAAAATATAATTCTGGATTTCTAGTTCTATAAAATCAACAATGATATTATTATTTTTCCAAATAAATATAGGGTGTAAAAAGAAAGTACGAGGTAGGAAAAATATGTCAAATAAAATCAGAAAAATATCAGCAGTTTGTTCTCTTGGATCATTGGCAAAATCCAGGCCCAAAATACTCTGTGGCACACAATGAATGTTTTTAATTTGGTTTTCCATGATATACTGATTACTTATTACTTACACGAAGATATAGTGAATAAAAAAAAAATTCAGAGCTCAATAAATTTTATACTCTAATGAAGAATAAACTCTTGATTAAATTGATAATATTCTGAATATTATGGTATGGTAATACTATTGTTCTTCAAAATATACTAAGATAAATTAATAAAAATATATAATCTGAGTATATTTTCTTCATGAAAACGAATAAGAATGCAAATACTTTAAAATTATAAAACTAACCATGAATTATTTTTCTGGAAACGGAATCTAATCGACCACATTGAAAAGCCCCCGCATCCTAAACCTTATCGAAACCAAATCTCCGGCAAGATTCTGACATCAATCACCATCACCTCGGTTTCCTCGCGCACCTCATGACATGGATTCATTATTTTAATCAAATGCAGTATTACATTTCATATTTCGAATCTTCAGTAGCACAGTTCATTACATTTTTTTTTTCTTCACTTCAATGGTCTCATTATGTAAGCAATTTCAGGGTGTTCAACCTGAATGGTTCTCCAATCCGGTGAAGCTTGGTATTGAACTGAAAGGGAGCTTTGAAACTGCAGATCCTCCACACTTTGAAAACGAATAACCAAATGATCTTCATGAATAATTTAAGCAAGTATATCCTCCACGAAACACATACTCATGATGCATATAAAATGATGTCCATGTTATTACAGTGGCCAAATCAACGAAGAGAGTGTGTTATAATAATGGCTAGAACGTTAACATGCATTAAGCAATAAAAACCAGTGGATTAATCGCATGCCAACATGCATGGGATACTGAAATCTGAGATTATCACGTTTTTAAGTATTTAACCAAGATATCAGATTTTGATGACCATGCATCTTCAGAATAGCCTTGTCCCTAGCATGTCACAGTGACCACACTATCGCAGACCATATGACATTGATTCCTCCTTTCCAATGTGTCTTGTCTCCCTTGGTTAAACTGCTGAATTTGAGACCCCATATGTTGACTCACACAGGGCATGCAATTTCCATTTGATTCACTTTTTCACCATCATCTATCATTATAATCTTCTCCTGTATTATAAGTTAGAGAAACAATTCAACTGCAAAAATGTGGTGACTCTCATGTTGGCCTTTCTTAATTAGAGTCTTCAATCACTACTATAAAAATGTCAAATAGTAACCGAAATCAGTGACCAAAAAATTTAGTTACTATCGGTGACCGAATCAGTAACCAAATTATTATTTTTTAGTCTAGTAACCGAAATAGTAACCGAATTTTCGGTCACATAAAATCGGTTACTATTTCAGTCACTTTATTATTTAATTTATTTTTTTAATTAATCTATATTTAATTTATGTAATTATTAATTTTTTTTATATTTAGTAACTGATTTAGTGACTAAAATTTCAGTCACTAAAAAAATAATTTTTACACTGATGACTATTTTTCATTTATATAAATATTTTATTTAAAATATTTTAAATATAAATTTACTTAATAATTTAAAATAATTGATAACATTTTTAATAACATTATAAATATTTTAAAAAAATTGTTTACTAACTTATTAAATAATTTAGTAATATAATTATTTGATTTTATTTTTTTATTTAGCATGTGAGTAAAAAAATTAAAATTGATTATTAAATTAGTCACCGAATCGGTCACTAATTCGGTCATCGATTCGGTCACTGAATCGGTCACCGATTCGGTCACCGATTCGGTCACCAAATCGGTCACTGATTCGGTCATCGAATCGGTCACTAAATCAATAATTAAATTAATTATTACTTTAGTCTCTTTATATATATATATATATATATATATATATATATATATATATTACTTGTATGTTAATAAAAATGTATTTCAATGTATTTATAAAAAATTAAAATTATTTTAATTACTGAATTGATATTTTAAATTTATATTAATATCTTGAATAATTTAATAGTTGGATATATATATATATATATATATATATATATATATATATATATATCACTTTAATTTTTTTAATTAAAATTAATTTCATAAAAAATTAATATTTGAAAATTAAAATGCAAATATATATATATATATATATATATATATATATATAAATTTATTTATTTTTTAAAGATGATATATTCAATGTATGTTAAAAAAGTTCAAGCCAAACTGTTTTTATAGAAGATTTTCAAAACTGCTGGTTTAATTAATCTGTTAAAAGATTCTTTTAATCTGTTAAAAGTGCAGTTTTAATCTGTTAAAACTTCTTTTAATCCACTAATACGTTCTTGATTCTTTAACAGATTTGTTTTAACTGATACGACAACGTTTATATCAATTAAAACACTTTACAAAAAATCTTCTAAGTTGATTTAATCGATTGTTTCGCGATTCAATCGATTGAAATACTGCAAAACTTTCTCCTAAAACTTTTCAAGTTATTTTAACTGATAAAAATAAGTTTTAATCGATTAAAACGCTGTGCAGAAACTGTTTTAATCGATTGAAACGAGATTTAATCGATTAAAATAGTTATGATCGGTCATAAATGCATTCTGACCGATCATAATTGAAACCATATAATAGCGGTTCAAGGGTTAACCGCTATCTAAGTCATATTTTAAGAGCGGTTCCTGTGTAACCGCTATCTAAACGTCATCTCGCTTGAGCGACAACATTCTCGCTCGAGCGAAACGCCCCCTGCACAAAATTAGTACTCTCGGGTTGTATTTCGCTTGAGCGAGTCTATCTCGCTCGAGCGATAGTTGATTCTGATCGATTATATTTTCGAAATGATCGATCATATTTGATAATTTTTTCAAATAATTAATTATAATCGATTAGTTTTCTAAATTATTGATTAGAATTGATTAGTTTTTCAAATAATAGATTAGAATTGATTAATTTCTGAAATATATACTAAAAAAATATAATTAAAACTATAAATTAGTTAAGAATATTGACTATTGTAAAGATAAAATAGAAACATGGGAGGAGATGAGGATGATAATATAATGATAGAACTTACAAAAATGTAGAATTGAGAAGTTTGAAACAAATAAAAATAAGAAAATAGATATTTAATTACACTTTTAATAAATTTAAGATAATACTAGTTTTAATTTTTATTTTTAAATATTTATTTTAAATATTTAAAACAGAGAAACTATAATTTTAGTTTCTAGCTACTGAATTTAAAGAATTAAATTTATTATTTAATCTTTTAATTTGTAGAATTAAACTCAATATAATTGTTAAAAATACTTTGTAGAGGCATTTGAGAAAGCTTTTGTCAAAATACTTTGTTTTTAATTGTTAAAAACATTTGTAGAGGCATTTTGCAAAACATAATTGAGATGATATGATAGCGGTTCCACCTTAACCGCTATCTAAAGTATAATTAAGATAGCGGTTAATGGTTAACTGCTATTAGAAGTGCACTTTTAAGAGCGGTTCCTGTGGAACCGCTATCTAAAATGTATTTCGCTTGAGCGACAATATTCTCGCTCGAGCGAAACTCCAAGTGCACAGAATTCGCATTCTCGGGGTGTATTTCGCTTGAGCGACACTACTCTCGCTCGAGCGAAATACGATCCTGATCGATCATAACTTGAAATGACCGATCATAATTGAGAGGATATAATAGCGGTTCCCTCATAACCGCTATCTAAAGTGCATATTAGATATATGAGGTGTATTTCGCTTGAGCGAGACTACTCTCGCTCAAGCGAAGTCCGATTCTGATCGATTATATTTTCAAAATGACCGATCATATTTGATAATTTTTTTCAAATAATTAATTATAATCGATTAGTTTTCTAAATTATTGATTAGAATTGATTAGTTTTTCAAATAATAGATTAGAATTGATTAATTTCTGAAATATATACTAAAAAATTATAATTAAAACTATAAATTAGTTAAGAATATTGACTATTGTAAAGATAAAGTAGAACATGGGAGGAGATGAGGATGATAATATAATGATAGAACTTACAAAAATGTAGAATTGAGAAGTTTGAAACAAATAAAATTAAGAAAATAGAGATTTAATTACACTTTTAATAAATTTAAGATACTACTAGTTTTGATTTTTATTTTTAAATATTTATTTTAATTATTTCAAACAGAGAAACTATAATTTTAGTTTCTAGCTACTGAATTTAAAGAATTAAATTTATTATTATTTAATCTTTTAATTTTAGTATTAAAATTTTAAATTATATTTTATTATATTAAAATAATTACAATATATTTTTCTACTTTGAGAATGAACAATATCATTAAACTCAAAATTGACAATATTATAATACATTTTTTAACTCTTTTGGATTAATTTTTTTTCCTAATTTTTTATAAAGTTAATTTTAATATTTAAAAGTATTTAACATTTTGAATTCTGAAAGGTTTTCTCTAATAGATAATTTAAAAACATAATATAAAAAATACTAAATGTCAGTTTTCATTATGATCGGTCATAACTGCATTCTGACCGATCATAATTGAAATCATATAATAGCGGTTTCTGTTTAACCGCTATCTAAGTGAGCTTTTAAGCGCGGTTCCCCTTCTAACCGCTATCTAAAATGTATTTCGCTTGAGCGAAAATAGTCTCGCTCGAGCGAAACTCCCCTTGCACAAAAGTGGCATTCTCGGGTTGTATTTCGCTTGAGCGACTATAGTATCGCTCGAGCGATGGTTAGAATAATTTAATGTAAGATTTCATTATGATGGGTCATAACTGCAATCTGGCCGATCATAATTGAAACCATATAATAGCGGTTTCTGTTTAACCGCTATCTAAGTGAGCTTATAAGAGTGGTTCCCCTTCTAACCGCTATCTAAAACGTATTTCGCTTGAGCGAAAATATTTTCGCTCGAGCGAAACTCCCCCTGCACAAAAGTGGCATCCTCAGGTTGTATTTCGCTTGAGTGAATCTAATCTCGCTCGAGCGATGATGCAACCGCTATTAGTAAAGATATGTAAAAATATAAACATATAAATATATATAAAAATATGTAAAGATATAAACATATATCTTTAATATTTTGTAAATGTAAATATAATTTACATATATTTTTAAATCTTTTTCTAATATTTATTTTTAAAAATATAATATTATTTTTAAAATTTAATATTTTTTTTCAAATATATCAATATATAAAGATATAAATGTATAAGGATATAAATAAATATATAAATATATCAATATATAAATATATCAAAATATAAATATATAAAAATATAAAAATATAAATATATTAATATATTAATATATTAATATATTAATATATTAATATATTAATATATTAATATATCAATATATAAATAAATAAATAAATATATATATATATATACAAATATATCAATATATCAATATTATCCCCTCATATATTAATATACATTATTAGCATAATTTTAATTTAATTAAAAATTAGAATACAAATATACTATACTATACTAATATACCATTATATTATTTTCATTGTATATAAATTACAAAATTAATAATTTGTATACTATACTATACTAATATATTATTTGTATACTATACTAATAGTATAATATACTATATTATAATATTATTTGTATAGAAAACTAATATCTTTATATATAAA